TACCAGGGTCACGTGACTTCCGCTGTCGTAACAATATTTTAATGTAAAAATGAAAACCAATTATATCTTTTGCTAAGCCTAAACAGGGTTTTTCTCTTATCTAGAATGAAAACAAAATTAAAGGTGGACTAAATTTAGGGGTAAAAACAACAACAACAACATAGCAATGAAGTACTAGATTGCAAAATTTTGATTGAAAATGTTTATTTTTAGAAGCCGTGCCATGGTTTAACTTTTATCTAAAAGAAGTAAAATCGAAATCATCTACAGTTTCAAAGAAATATCAAGGATTAAGTTCTGGTCGTTGAAAACGTTTTTTTTAAAAGCTTACATCAGGTTCATCTCCCTCTCTCTAGCAAAATAACATGAAAAATAATTTTGTAAAATACCAAAATTCATAACCTCATGACGTCAAGTTAGTGTAGAAAACGATATTATATTTTATATATTGGGCAGAGTGCGGCCAGGTAGTTTGCCTAGTTAGAATATGTATATATATATATCACGCTGCATTTTGTGGCTTTGAGCGCCGTTATAAGAGTGACTGTTAAATCCTAAGTAGACCAAGAATTGGCAGTAGCGGTGTTGATCAGCGCCTTTCCAGTTTCTATCCTTTGAAAAGTATAGACGGCAAGGGAAGATATTCTTCCTATAACTTTAGTCGAAATTTAACAAAAGGCAAAAATTAAAAAAATAATATATATTTTTATAACCTTCTTTTAACTGTTTTAACTCTTTGGCCTCTTAAAGTGTGAGGTAATTTGATGTATTCATTTAATCATAACCTAACTTTTTAATCTTCAAAACAGAAAAACAAAAGAGAGTGAAAATGTTTCTTTTTTCGGTGATAGAAAACAAACAAACAGAAAATTAAACAAAATTTATAACATTTAAAAATTCTTTGGCCCTATATTACAATAAAGTCGATAGTTTTTCGCACCACCAATGTGTTAAAAGAAATGGCGCAGCCGAGAGTGGTTAGTCGTGGTAAAAGTTACAGGGAAGCGTATAAAACTTTAAGGTTTAAAAAAATAATTAAAGAGTTATGGAATAATTTGAGAAATCCAATAGGTTTACTGAAGATGTTTATTGATCCAGAATGGTTTTGGTTGTTTGGCTTATTAGTGTTTCTTGTCGAAATTGTGGTAATTATCAGTGTGATCGAATACATCCCATGTAAGTCTAGGTTAGAAAAATCAAGCCCACTTCTTTTCTTAAGTTATTATTAATATTATATAAAATTATAAGTAAAAACAATATCTGTTGTCTTGAACATTTTTCTTCAATTGCCTCTTTAAGTCATGATTGTGTGCGAAGCCTGACGGCTAAGTTGTTGGCCTGCTAGTAGTATTACTAAGTTGTACATAATTTTATATTAATTGTACAGTGAAATGTTAAAATAGGAATAAGGCTACTATTGCTAATGGCGTTTATATCAAAATCTAAAACTGTAAAAAGAAAACTGTGGCAACGAAACGGAAGATGTATGCTTCTTAGGGGAAATATGAAATATATTTTAAGCCTAAGGTGTTTCTCTTCTTTTTTTCCTTTCATGAAAAATAAAAAAGACCAAAAAGGAAATTTTGGCACATATAAAAGTTTTTCATAGTACTGATCATATAAAATATAAACAAAACTGTATTTTTTATAACACTATTTTAATAGGAAGAGGAACTTTTGGTATTAAAAAAGACCTGAAAGGGAAATAAACTTCAGTTTTAAATACATTGGTTTGGATTGAATGAAGTAAAAAAGTGAGTGTTTTCTATACTGTATACCATTTTGAAAGGATGTCGTCTTTGTGATGATCTTGTTTTATAAGATGTATGACTAGATCATGGACGTATAGCCATGACTAGCTCCACAACAGCACATCAAATAATCCTGAGAACTGTTTATTACACATAAAAGATGATCAGTTCACAAACACTGGACAAGTGAAATTTACGTGTCAGTCACTGGTAGATTAAAACATACATGGTAATCAATAGTAATGAAAAACTACCAAATCAAACTTCTTATGTCTGTTTTCTAACTTGGTAGTTCAGCATACATCGATGTCACGTTTACAATAATTAACATAACATTATGTCACAAGTGAATTAATAGTAAACACCTTAGTGTCATGTGTTTACAATAATTAACATAGCAATATGTCACAAATTAATCAACAGTAAACAACTTGGTGTCATGTGTTTACAATAATTAACATAACATTATGTCACAAAACAATCAACAGTAAACACCTTGGTGTCATGTGTTTACAATAATTAACAGCAATATGTCACAAATCAATCAACAGTAAACACCTTGGTGTCATGTGTTTACAGTAATTAACATAGCAATATGTCACAAGTGAATTAAACCAAGGTGTTTACTGTTGATTGATTTGTGACATATTGCTGTTAATTATTGTAAACACATGACACCAAGTTGTTTACTATTGATTGATTTGTGACATATTGCTATGTTAATTATTGTAAAAATGTTACACCAAGGTGTTTACTGTTACCATAATTAACATAACTTTATTTCACAAACGATTCAACGTCAACCACCTTGTACAAAGTATGTGACTGATGAATTACATCATACACTACAGTTAAGTTTAAACTTAGACAATGTGATTGCACAAACTATTAGTAGGAAACTTGTAAATTATAAATAACAGAAAGTGTGTGTGTGTGTGTGTAATGATATGATAATATATGCAGTGATGATGTAACTTAATTCCTCACAAAGAGTTCTGAGGTGGGCTACTAGGATGATTCCAGGGATGGGGGAGGGTTATCTTACAGGGATAGACTAAGATTTCGTAAGGAAGTGTAAGAAGTGATTTACAAGATTATCCAGGGGACCAATCGGATTATTCTGATTTCTTAGTGCCATATTCTGAAGATAATGATAAGAGAACATAAGTTTAAGATTTGAAAAGGACAGTCTTAGCTACAGTTAAAACAATTTTTTTAACAGGATAATTCACTTGTGGAAGCCAGTACTTTACACGAGTTTAAGAAAGGAATTAATGATTTCGTGAAAAATTTTCAATATGATTGTTAACGGTATTCAAGTCTTTTTGAACAATTACAGTTTTTTTTCATTAGTCCTTGTGGTTCTGAACAGTTTCAAGCTGTCATACAGTTCACCAACTTATTAAAAATGAAGATAAAACATACAAATGTATAAACATTGTGTTTATGTAAACTTAACATCTGAACATAAATATTTTAAGAACTTCAATGTTTGAATGTAATGTTATTAATTAGACTTAATGTAATGTTGCTAGTTTAGTTTCAGAGAAAATATTAGAGTTACTCAACAATTCCTCTTATATAAACTCTCAAGTTTAACCTGCAGTTAAACTAGTTTAAGTCAAGTACTGTCAGCTGTGCTTGAGAATTTGTATAGATCCTTCAGTTAATTCTATTAAACAATGTAAGTATTGTACCATCATTTTTCGATAAGTTTGTTTTCACTCCATTTTCTTCTTATCAGACACAGAGATAGACTGGAAGGCCTATATGCAAGAGGTTGAAGGGGTTGTGAATGGGACTTTGGACTATACAAAGCTAGAAGGAGACACTGGGCCTTTAGTGTAAGTGACAGAAAACTTCATTCCTAAAATGTTCAGCTGCTTTTAATCTTGATTGTAAAGATGTTACTGGAACTGAGCTGATATTGTGATGGAGACTGTTGTTACATGTGATCCAAGGAAAGTAAGGTTTTTCTCAGTTATGTGTTCAAGTAAAACCTAGTACCTCATTCTGTATAAAAGTTTCTACTTTGTACTCTATTACCCAAACTGGAAAAATTACGTTCAAATGTTCCAAAAGCCAACATTTATTTTAAGAAATCCCTTTATGTTTTGTAAATAAGTTTGAAAAATTAAAGAAATTTAAGTGACCTTTGGTTCCACTTGTGGTCGGTGATGCCGTTACAGTTATATGAAACGATACCACAAGATAGTGTCAAAGTTTCTACATAATTACAGTTGTATGAAATGATACCACAAGATAGTGTCAAAGTTTCCACATAATTACAGTTGTATGAAATGATACCACAAGATAGTGTCAAAGTTTCCACATAATTACAGTTGTATGAAATGGAAACTTTGACACTATCTTGTGGTATCACACATTTTTTCAAGGTTAATGATATCTCAACCAATTGCAATTGAAAGTGCTGTGAAGTAATGCACTGGGAAGGGTAATGTAGTGCTGTGAAGTAATGTATTGGGAAGGGTAACATAGTGTTGTGAAGTAATGTACTGGGAAGGGTAACATAGTGCTGTGAAGTAATGTACTGGGAAGGGTAACATAGTGTTGTGAAGTAATGTACTGGGAAGGATAATGTAGTGTTGTGAAGTAATGCACTGGGAAGGGTAATGCAGTGCTGTGAAGAAATGTACTGGGAAGGGTAATGTAGTGTTGTGAAGAAATGTACTAGGAAGAATTAATGATGACCCTAACAAACGTAGTCAAGACATTGTGGTTTCGGAAGTAATAATGACCCTAACAAATATGGTCAAAACCTGTAACAAAATATCTTTTTTTTTTTGCAATGATAAATAATTGTGATTTAAATGGTATATTAATTTTATTAATTATAGTAATTTTAAAAAGCCTTAAACTTTT